AATTATTGTTAGTTCCCTTATTTTGGCATATCTATAATCAATATTGCTTTGTAATGGTAAACAACAGCTTAACCTCAAAAATACTATAGAATGTAATGTTACATAATACACTACACACTTTATAACACTAGCTATTATTACTGAGCTGGCAACACTCTGCCAAAAAAATTTCAATCAGTTTAACTCATGGATTTCAGTATTCCAGGTATTCTTTCAGCAGCTGCACAATCTCCTGCTTCCTTCACAGCATCTATCAAAGTCTGCCATGTTCTACTTTTAGCATTGTCTGCACCCTCTAGCCATGCTTTTATAGTCTTCTTCAAGTGCTTGAAGGCATCACCACTTTCTCCAATGGCATCTAGCCGTGTCATCAGTAGACTTAAGTTCAGCCCCAAGTCTTCTCATTTTGTTTGGCCAAACATGATAGCTTTTTTTAAAACTGTATATTCCTTTTTAGCATCTTCTATGGCTATAAATATTAAATTATTGTGATAAATTAGACTTATAATACTTACTTAGGGCACTTTCACTTTGAGCAGGCATAGTGGCATTGCTGCTACCAATAGATTGCACCGTGGATACTGTATCTAATAGAAACAGATTATTCATGTGTAATTATGTGCACAGAATCCTTTATGCAGTCACTGTAGTGTTTGTCATTGTCATAAAAGTCAAAATTTCATTATTACAATATCAAACCAAAGGGAGTGACAGGATTATCATGGGTTGAGGGAGTGTATCATTTTCCATCATCCCACTCTTATACTCACATGACCCTTGTACTTTACATGGTATATTGAGATTCTCAGACTGCAGTACTATGTTGTGCGTGCAACGTGGGAAAACAATTTTAAGAATAGTTTTACATTGATACTCTTGTTACACCTTGTTCTGATAGATGCCCTAATGCCATGTAGAAGTTTGAGTCTTACTTTACACTATTTGACTTCATTGTATAAATAGTAGAGCTCTTTGCTGAAGTGTTCTGGTTAAGTATGCATATTTATGTGTAAATGCAAGCTTTACCTGATTTAAAGCAAAAATTGATGTCCTAAACACAACCTATGTATTTTCAATTACAAACTTTCATGCAATTGGGTATCTGACAAATTATGCTAAGACCATTGCCATTGACTATAGTCCATCTCCAAAATTTTGATTTTTTACCACATAAAAACTTTAATTGACTCAATTTTGATTTAAAAATTTAAGTTTTGGGGCATGCCAATTTGGGTTAACCATGCATGCATGTAGCAATATAGTCATTCTTTTGAGAGACTGCTTGTGATGTATGGGAAAATATAGCAGGATTAGCAGCTGTGCTATCTACAGCATGACCTCAAATCAACCCCCACACTCCTGCACTTTTATTGCTTTTCAAAATATTATTAAAACAAACTTTACTATTTCAGCCTGTATAGATGTAAAATACAGTGAGTTTAGTTTTAATATTGTTCAATGCATGTGCATAATTCTTAAAAATTATGACACCCTTTGTTCTTTTTTCATAACTTTTCTCTCATGCTTGCTCCAATTTTCATCAATGGTTCATTATCCACATCTTTGCTTTGAAACACA